AGCTAAATAATGTTGTTTTCAAACAGAAAGCAAAACTAAATAAAGTCTTGGCATGACTGCTGAATTAAAAAAAAAAACTCTATGCAAAACTGTGCAGAACTACTTAGTTCTAATAGTTACTAATACGAACTATAATACTAATAGTGATTACAAAATCATATTAGTTGAATAGCTACTTTGTATCTCAGAAAAAAGGAGAATAGGCTTATAGTAAATTCATCTCAGCTGATATCTAACACATCTCGATATTTTTAAATATAAGCAAAACGCATAGATCCAGAGACAATGTTTTTCTATATTTCACATAATAGACTCATATACAGAATTTGATTATAAGAATTCATAATTTTGAATTTGAATGAACTTAAATTATGAGCAAAGCGTGAAATAATTTACGAAAAATTACATTTTAATATCGAGAAATCTCATCTAATATAATTCACATAATAAATAAAATTTTAAACACACTTCAACTGGCTCTGGAGTAGGGCTAGGCATAGTTAAATTAGATGAAAATATCTCAGCATCCACCTGAACAAATTCTATGAATTTTTTTTTTCAATTTCATCAAATTTGTTAGGCATCTGGAAAAATTCAAACCGCTTATTAAATAGAAGTTGCGGCAAAAATTTTCTCAAAACTTGGATCGAAAATACCTCAACATCCACCTGATCAAATTCAATGAAATGTTTTTAATCTTAATTTACAGAACTGTATATCAAGATCACGGGATATTATTATTACGAATTCATTTTCGGTGGAAGTTTTAGATGATCTTATTTCGTCACTATCACTATGTTACTAATTTTTTTTTTAATTGTACGATTGTAAATCTATATAAATTTTTTAAAAACAAACTACAAAGAAAAATGTTTCAGTCGGAATTTTATTAGTAAAACTATTAACTTCGCCATAAAACCCCACAATTACCTTACAACTATCAAAAAATCAAATAAAAATTTTGTTTTACAAAAAAAAAAAAGGGCCCTTCGGGACACCCCATAGTCAAAGGACGGTATCTTGATATATCGGTCCAATTATCATGAGCAATTTACAATTGATTTAATAGATACATTGTGAAATAATGAATAAATTAATGAACACTAATTGGTATAGTAAAATCGAGTCATTACATTAAGTTGTTAAGTTAATCCGAACAAGATGAACAATCCATTAACGAAATATCAACCTGTTATGCTGAATTATTATTATTGGATATTGTGGATTCATCATCCGTTCGTGAAAATTCCAGTTTTTGAGTATCATGCGTATTTTCGTATTTAGGATAATTATTTACGAAACCACCCTCAGAACCGCAATCTTCAACTTCATATGTAAATTCTTTATTGTGTAATATTTCGGCATCATCTGAAATATGAAAAGTTGAATTGAGAGAAGGATCGAAATGACGACCTATTGAAGGAGTATCTGACCCAACTAAAAGTTACATTTGAAAAAAGTTACTTGTTATCAGAATTATAAAATTTAAGTAGTACCTAATACTTACTATCAAACTGATCATTCTCTTCGTCGTGAGAGTTTCCGTTACGCGAGGATCCGTCATGAGGTATTTCATCATTTTCATCATCATTATTTAGCTCATTTTGTTCATCCACCTTTTTTGTTAATACTTGTCGATCGCTTCTACTGTAATTATCCTCGGCAGACATGTCTGTTGTTATTAATGATGTGGTTGCACTGGAGATTTCCGGAATGGGGTTAATAATTGAAATTGGAGAAAGTATACTGAATGAAGATTCTGCATTAGGATATGCACTAAAAGGATCAGATCCCTGTGTTGCCATCTAAATATTATTGTTGCAAATTAATAATGACTGAAGACAAAATAAATAAATAGACAAGAATTATACAAATACCTCTTCCAATATTGGATCCTCAACTCCTTTATTGGAGATTCTTTCATAAATATCAACTTCAGCCCTGATCACTGTTGAAACTTTAGAAAGGATAAAATTAAGATTATTTTGCTCTGTATCTAAGGTTTGTCTGTAATAGTCCGTTTTCAATCTATCTAGATCTTCTACTTGTCGAGTCAAATCTTGAAGGGCCTTTATGATAAAATGTATGAATACAAAAATTAATTATATATTTTAATTATGATCTCCAATGTACATAAGCTAACCATAAAGCACTTACTCTACGAAATTGGGTGAGATCTATTGATATAAAGTATATTTTAGGTTTTAATAATTGGTTACGAAGTTGTAGATTATTGTAAATTACTTACCCCTTTGACGTTTACGACCGCAACGTAAATTCTCAGATTCAGTTTCCTTGATACGTTTACTCATTTCCGCTAATGACTTGTCATAACATTCCTCACTCGCAATAATTGTTGCTTTATGGACATCAAGATTTTCTAATAGAGGAATCTCAAATTTTTTGTAAAAAGCATCACTCTAAATAAATATAACAAGTACAGTAAATACTAAAACATCAGACGATGTGAATTGTCGTAAAATAAAATTAATTGAGAAATTCCAATTCGATCATTTACCAGAACTTGTTGATGATTTGACATTAAATAATGCAAACCAGCCGCAGCTTGTAAGGCAGGACCTAATTAAATTAAATTCATAACAGTAAATAAATATTAAGTTTATATATGATATGGAAATATTGTTACTTCTGTCCCTTTCGATTTTATGATAGATAATCAATTTTTGAGAACAAGTTTTTTTAGGTACAAACCAGTGTCAAATGCTCCTTTACAACGAGCTAATCTTTCCAATGATTGACCGAAACCAGCAGCAGCTTGTGCGAGCGCTATCATTTGATTGCGATATATCTTTGCAGAGCTTAATAGTTGCTCATAAGCTTCAAAGGAAGCACGTATGTCAGAGCGAGAAAGTGCAATTGTTGGTTCTGGGGCTGGCTCAGTCGTTCGTGCCGAATGAGCTATGGAATTTACTGTCCTTGCTGATAAGGTTGGTGTTCTATATGTTTTTGCCATAGGCTTACTACGCCAAATATATCTCTATGCTAAAGAGTTGCATTCGTGCATGTAGATGGGAGCTCCAATTTCTATTTGATTAGTCTGAGCATAGGCTGATGTATAGCATCACATGATTTTTTCCTTAAACAGATATTGCAAGTAGATATTCAAGCTTTGGTAGCAATACCATATTGTTTATATATATTATTTGACTTGCTGAGAGTTTTTTGTATTTTAGTATACAAAT